TAAAAAACACTGAGACGGATCAGACCAGACCTCTACATGTAAAAAGATTCGTATGAGCTGGCTCAAGTCTCTAAAACACGACAGCATACAACAGCATTAAATATAGCCATTCCCTTCATTCACATTGATTAAAAACAAAAAGAGAGAAATGACCATGAGCTCACGGACAGGAAAAAATGCTGACCTACCTTATATATTAAGCCTTCTTTTAATACTCTAACCATAATATAAATGAAAGCAGGCCGTAATATCTCATGCTTTATTTACATTCAGAAATGAGGCTGTGATGTACAAGTGCACGCTGAAGAGACAGTTTGAGCTGCAGATATCCTACGTCTGTGAACGCGGTGCAACACTTTGACTTGAGTATCACGCAGGCGTCATCAAGGGGAACCAGGCATTTCTATGCTAACCAGTGCCATGGAGGACCAGCTGCTGCTCCGTGATGTATGTGAGTGGTGAGAACACATGGAGAGAGGCGGTGGGAAGGGGAAAACTTTGAGATACAGTGAAGACTCTAAACTGCTTTAAATCTGTACTGCATATAAAGCCACAGACGATTAAGTGACTGCTCTCGCTGTTGTTGGTTTGGCTTTGGCACTTTATGGATCGCACCTCAGTGCAGCTCTTTATATCCCCCAAACAGTCGGTTAATAAATGGTGAAACTGGCCACAGAGTTGGCAATAGTATGGAGGCTAACTACATTAAAGATAGCAAAACACAGCAGCTGATAGAGGAGTTCGACCTCAGTAAAGTAACATTAAGCTAACATGCGAGGTCAAAGCTGGCCTAGGACACTCTTGTGAAAGAGATTCTGAATTTTATGAGTTTAAGATTCACCACCAACCAGTTGCAGCAGATAACCACCCCTCCCTAAGCCTCTTCTCCCTGTAAGATTCTTCCTGTTAAAAGGGAGTTTTTCCTTCCCACGTTTGCCAGTTTTTCCTTTCCACTGTTGATGTGATTTAGTACTATATAACTAACATTGAATCAAACTGAGTTTTATTCTTAGTTACCTTTCAACTATTAAACTCTTTTGAATGTCAGCACTGTTTTTGTTGATTGAATGAAAGGCTGCCCGGGTTAAGGCATCAGATGAGGCATGCAGCTGATATGTTGCTTGGTTAAGGGTTAATTTTGGTTTAAATCTGGTGCCAGAACCAGTTTAGGGTCAGTTGGGTGACCGCCCAGGGCCCTGCTGCTCTAACAGGTCAAATCATGTTGTCATTTATATTTAAAAATATAAATGTTTTTCCATCGAGTCTGTGGAGCCCTAAAACTTGAAAAAGATGATATTTATTGTTATTTTGTGCAGACAGCAGTGATGGATTACCAAAATTAGGTCGAATGGGCCACTGCCCCAAGGGTCCCCAAACCCACGTGCTTACAGGCGTTTCATTATTATACTCATATATTGGAGAATTTGCACCATTAACAGGGTAATCTGGCCTCTAAGCAAAAAATGGAGAGCTTCTGATTGAATTTCCGATCAACCATTTGAGGGCATATCATAAAATATTAGCATAAAGGTACGAAAAAGCTATTGAGAACTCTTCCCTCACATTTAAGCAGAAAATCCTCACATTTAAAAAGTGAAATTTCCTTCAGCTCTCCTGTTATTTGAGCCTAGACATCAGAAGCAGCAGTTGACAGAGAAAACAGAAATTTGAATACATCTTTATAAAAAATAGCACAAAATTCATGTGCAGTTTGGCTGCTTGTTATGAGACACGTACGATGTCAACACAGACGAACTAAAATGACTAAAACTCACACGAAAAACATTTACTTTTAGGGTAACATAGATAACAGTTTGTTGTGTATGCTATAACAAGACATGTAGGTTTTCGAGATAAAATCTGACAAGTGTTTTCACATTTTATCTGTGTAGACCTATTATGCTTTTCCTTATTTACTGTTATTTATATTCTGTTTGAATGATGGATGCTCATATCAAACAC